TTGTCCCTTTGGCCTATTTAGCCTCATCTGAGCATCCTCTAATTAATTCAGGTTTATTACTTTTTAGTAACCTTCCTTGAATTGACAAATTTCATATTAATGAGAGTCCATACCAAGTGTTTCAGGGAGTGAATAATCCGGTCAACTGAGGAAAAATAATTACATTTGTGTATCATGCATGCGTATCATTTAAATGATTCTTCTGCAATAATTTTCGTGAACTCTGCTTTGGTCGTGTGTTACTTGTGTTGTTTGGAGTTTAAGGTTGTATTATAGTTTGCACTGAAAATGAATTGAGTATGTACGTAAATAATCGTCCAGTCTTACCCAATGCATAGCATCCCTTTTTTAGTTCTCTAGTCCGAGTTGATAATCCTTGTAAACATGTGATGTAAGCTTATTTCTTCATAGTTTGTCAGTTGCACTTTGGATGACCCAGTCTTTGGTTAGCTGTAACTTGTGAGTTGAAATGATTGCTATTATTTGTTACAGCTGGAACTGCTGAGGATGCTGTAAATTTCACAGATATAGGGAAAGGTTCAAAGCCTCCAAAATTTCTCCCACCAATCGAAAATAAAGTTGTTCAGCCACTTATGATGCCTGGCCCAAGAGGCAATGCGAATAAAGTTATGCAGTTTGGTGAAGGAGGTCGACTAGTTTCATCCAAATCAAGTGGAGTATTGGCCTCTGATATTGAGGATCTAAGCGTCTCCTGGGATGATGTTATTCTAAAGGAAAGAATTGGAGAAGGTATTTCTTTTCCTTTTTTGATGCTGCTGCTGAGCTTACTGTTTATTGGTTGTCCTAGCATGAAAGTGGAAAATTGTGCTTCTCAGAAATGTTATCTTAATTATTTGGCTCTCTGTTTGCTTTTGCAGGTTCTTTTGGTAAAGTTTATCGTGCTGAATGGAATGGTTGTGTAAGATACACGTGTCCTGATAATCGTCAAAGATATTAATAAGAATTATTTATTGGGACTTTGACGTGTGAACTCATAGTCCATTGTATTGGAAACTCGTAGACACCAGTTCTAAGTTCAGAATATAAACTTGTAGACACCATTTCCAAATTCATCATGCATTCTGATAATATTTAATTTATTTGAATATTACTAATTTTCATTTACTAAACAATTGGACTGCAATTCAACGATAAATCTTACAAGAGAAAACAAACCCTCCAGGATGTGGCTGTTAAGATTCTCATTGAGCAAGATTTTCATGGTGAACGATTTAAGGAGTTCTTTCAAGAGGTAGGTTCTTATTCCGATCTTCGCTGTAATCTATGCTACATGTCATTCACTGTGTGGTTCTTTAGCTTCTATACGTTGTTGGCTTAGGTGGCGATCATGAAAAGATTGCGCCATCCAAATATTGTTCTATTTATGGGTGCTGTAATGGAGCCTCCAAACTTGTCCATAGTCACCGAATATTTATCAAGGTACTATATGTTCTTTTTTGGGACATCAGACATTAATTATAATAGTTTGTGTACCTCTTGTAGCACTGTTCTAATTTTTCTGACTTATGTTTTCTCTTCAGAGGTAGTCTGTATAGATTGTTGCATAAACATGATGAAAGAGAATTCTTGGATGAGAAACGTCGTTTGGGCATGGCTTATGATGTGGTGGGTATGACCTCCGTCTAGTTTGGATTTTACATGCCAAAAGCAAGTCTCAAGTCAATATTTTTCTGTACAGGCTAATGGGATGAATTATCTTCACAATCACAATCCTCCAATTGTTCATAGAGATTTGAAATCTCCTAATCTTTTGGTTGATCAAAATTACACTGTGAAGGTAAGGACTAGCAAATCGTATGTTGTTCTGAAGAAATCCTGGGCAAAGTATGACTCTTAAGTTGTCAATGTGCTCGATTAATACAGTCTATAATCGCCGTATATGTATTCTGGGCTTGTGTTTTCACTGTCCTGTTTCTTGGCAGTCCCAAGTCCTGTGTGACTTTAAACATTCCATTTTTAATGTATTTTCTGATTTATTTATTTTTTTGTTAAAAAATTTAAACATCCATTTTTTATTCCTTATCTCGAGCTTCTTATGGAATAATGAGAGGTGTTCTTGTAACACCTCTCCTGTTATTTGGGCACTCATCTGCATTTTAATTTCATATCATCTTAAAACCTGTAGGATTGGAGTTAATACTTAATTAATAACTCAATGGTCTGTTCGTGGTCATATGATGCAGTCCTTTGTTTCAGAACCTTTTGTAACTTCTCCTGTTGATTTTGTGATTAGGTTTGTGATTTTGGTCTTTCACGTTTGAAGGCGAACACATTTCTTTCATCAAAGACAGCTGCAGGAACTGTGAGTTAGACTTTCCTGACATTGATCTGAAAGACCAATGATATATTTGCTGGTTTGGGATTTCACTGGGTAAAACTAAAATTTTATTTATTTCTGGTAGCCTGAGTGGATGGCTCCTGAAGTCCTCCGTGACGAACCATCGAATGAGAAATCAGATGTTTACAGTTTTGGCGTGATTTTATGGGAGCTGGCCACCTTGCAGCAACCATGGGGTAATTTGAACCCGGAACAGGTTGGTGAAATGGCTTTGGTTTTAAATGATAAAGTCAAATTAAATTACAGCTGCCTTTGGTTAGGTATAGTAAAGTGATATCTGCTGCAATTCGATAAATTACACTTACCTATTAATGGCGCCACCAGATTACTTTAATATGCATGACACAGTGATGGCTGTGATGGGGTGTACTTTCTCATCTGAGTTGGACTGCTCATGCAATGTTAGTGGTTTTAAACTTTTAGTATGTTGCAAATTAAACATGCTAATGATGGTGGAAGATTAATATTGAGAATATTGCTTCTTAAGTTAAATTACAGTGGGTTAAGTGGGGTGCATGGGTTCTCATTTTCTCTGAGGCCAACCATAACATTTTCACCTGCTAAATAACTCATAATGTTATGAA